CCAGCTGCAGCAGCGCCCGCAGCGCCAGGCGGGAGGCAGGGATGCCGATGGCGGTCACACCTGGGCCTGCGGCCTGGAACACGATCCATCTGGTTAGTTGTCAGACTCAGATTTCTCCTCTCAGAGGCAGGCACCTCCTCCCCGGGCCGCGGAGCGGGGGGCTGATGGAGCCCACACCTCTGAGGCCCGTCCTGGAGCAGAACCCCGGGCCCCAGCCCTGCCTTCCGAGTCGGGGGCCACTGACCAAGCTCGGTCCCATGGGCAGCAAGGCTGTGCCAGGAGGCTGGCCTGGCGGACAAACAAGAGTGGGGCCTCTCGCCCTTGCTGGTTTGGCTCAGTGGATAGAGCGTCAGCCTGCGGACTGAAGGGTCCCAGGTTCGATTTCCGTCAAGGGCACACGCCCGGGTTGTGGGCTCGATCCCCAGTGTGGGGCGTGCAGGAGGCAGCGGATCAATGATTCTCTCTCATCATTCATGTTTCTATCTCTCTCCCTGCTCCCTTCCTTTCTGAAATCGATAAAAAAAAAAAAAGTGTGGCCTTCCTGGTGCTCGCTTCAGAAGTGGCCTATTGGCGACCTGAGGGTCCCATGTGCTAAGGGGGCCCGGTGTCCTGCTCCCTCCGGCCTCTGGCTCCTGATCCCCGGGGCCCTCCATTCTCGCTCCTCCGGTGACCTCGCCCCTCAGCCCTTCCCCCTGCCACTCCCTTGCCCACCTCCTACCCCGAGCCTCTGCCCCTGCTGTCCCCGACCCCCGGCTGCTCTTGCTTCCATCCTCCCTGGTTAGAAGATGGCTTCCAAGGCTCAGCGCGGACACTCCCTCCTCTTGTCCTGTCCCTGGTCCGCCCACCTCCTCACTGTGTCTGCCTCGGGCACTAGGCCAGTGGTCGGCAAACTGCGGCTCGCGAGCCACATGCGGCTCTTTGGCCCCTTGAGTGTGGCCACGAAGTTTCAATCGCACTGTACGTGTGCGCCCGCACGTGGTATTTTGTGGAAGAGCCACACTCAAGGGGCCGCAGTTTGCCGACCACTGCACTAGGCTAAGCACTTCCCAGGCTTTATCTCATGGAATCCTTACAGCAACCAGACTCAGCCTCAGCCTGGCCTCCACTTCCCGCTCCCAAACTCAGGGCAGGCCGAAGGGAAGGGTGTGGGCCGGGCCCGGGCTCCTCTCTCCTGGGAGGTCACTCCCAGGGCTCCCCTGGACTGGCCGCCCAGCACCCTGCTCATCTGAGTCCCAGGGCCGAACCCCCACCCACCTGGGCTCAGGGCCTCTCTGCACCGCTACTCTCTGACACTGAGTGACTGGACCACTCTGACCCTCGGTCTCCTCATCTGTGAGCTGGAGATCGTGAGACTTCCCTTAAGGCCCAGGTGTGGCAATAACTCAAAGGCCAGCCTCCTGGCTTCACACCTCCTGGTAGGTAGTTCCTGGGAGCTGCTACTGGTGATAACTATCTGTTCATCAGCCAGGCCTGTGGGCACCGAGTCGGGGAGTCGGAGTCAGGGCTGGGGGGAGGGAGGTGATGCAGCCCCAGGCTCTGCACCTGACCTGCTCCCCCTCCCGCTTCCCTGCCCCACTGTCACATGCACCGCCCTCCCAGGACACCTCTGTCCCTCCACTGCCTGCACCCCTCCGTGAGCCGGTCGCTCCGCATGGGCCTGGCCCCCAGAAGTGCACGGGGTAGGGGGTGAGGGTGAGGAAGGATCTCGGACACCTTCCACTCCCTCTGGCTTTACAGATGGGTCAGTGGGCACAGGGAGCTGGTGGCTGGCCCAGGGATGGTGAAGTGGGGCAGGAGGCGGCCAGCCAGGCCGGGGACCTTAAACCAGGTCTGTGGTGTGATCTCAGGTGGGGATCTGGGTTCCGGAGGCTCCGAGAGCTGCGGTTACAGGCCAGCTTTCAGGACGGCGTGCGGGGCCTCCTGGGGACACGGTGGCCTGCACTTGCCCCGACTGGAGCTGGGTGTCTGGTGTCCACAGCACTTGGGCAGTTGGAGGGGGGGAGGGGGCGAGAGCCACACTCCGAAAAGGGCTTTTGGGAAACTGAGCAGCGCCCGCTCTGCTGGGTCTCCAGGGAAAGGGACAGGCCCCCGAAGACCCACAGGGCCTGAGCCACCCCCAGGCGTCCTGGGTGAATGAGAGGCCTCGGCTCTCCCAGCCCCCAGCCCCCAGCCTCAGCCCTCCAGTCCCTGCCCAGCCGCCCCTCCCCACAGACAGCAGTGCCACTCACTGGCCACCTGTCCCCGACCGACCGTACTCCTCCTGGGTTTTCTCACAGCAGCCGCTGAGCCCAGGTCTGACCCCTGTGGCTTCCAGTTCCTGCACTCTGACACCTGGCCCGGCCGGTGTGGCTCAGTGGTTTGAGCGTCAACCTATGAACCTTGAGGTCATGGTTCGATTCCTGGTCAGGGCATGTGCTCGGGTTGCGGGCTCAATCCTAGTGGGGGGCATGCAGGAGGCAGCTGATCAATGATTCTCATCATTGATGTTCCTATCTCCTTCCCTCTCTGAAATCAATAAAAAATATATTAAAAAACAACCACAGTCTGACACCTGTTCATGACGTTCAAGGCCTTCCATCTCTGCCTCCGGTGTCTGAACTGCCCTTAGGAGGGGAGAAGGGGGTGCCCCCAGGTAGGAGGTGGCGGTGCTGAGCTTGTCCAGATGCGAGTTCGTGGGCTGCGCTGAGCCGCTGGGCCAAGCACAGCTTCCCGGGCCTCTGCAGGTGCCTGGGCCCCGTGGGTGTGGTGGGTGAGACGGCGTGGCCGTGAGAGTGTGGGGACACTGTGGGGTGTTCGCGAGCGCCCGGGCTGCTGGGGCCAATCTGGGACCAGCGTTGCCGCCGTGACTCCACTTCCCTCCTCACCCTCCCCCCCTCCCTCA